GTTACTAGGTTACAATGAGACAAGTTGTTTAGATAATGAGTTTTATCTTTAAGTTACAGGTTACAATGAGACAAGTTGTCTAAAGAATGAGTTTTATCTTTAAGTTACAGGTTATAATGAGACAAGTTGTCTAAAGAATCAGTTTTATCTTTAAGTTACAGGTTATAATGAGACAAGTTGTTTAAAGAATGGGTTTTATCTTTAAGTTACAGGTTATAATGAGACAAGTTGTTTATATAATGAGTTTTATCTTTAAGTTACAGGTTACAATGAGACAAGTTGTTTAAATAATGAGTTTTATCTTTTAGTTACAGGTTATAATGAGACAAGTTGTCTAAAGAATGAGTTTTATCTTTAAGTTACAGGTTATAATGAGACAAGTTGTTTATATAATGAGTTTTATCTTTAAGTTACAGGTTACAATGAGACAAGTTGTTTAAATAATGAGTTTTATCTTTTAGTTACAGGTTATAATGAGACAAGTTGTTTATATAATGAGTTTTATCTTTAAGTTACAGGTTACAATGAGACAAGTTGTCTAAAGAATGAGTTTTATCTTTAAGTTACAGGTTAGAATGAGACAAGTTGTCTAAAGAATGGGTTTTATCTTTAAGTTACAGGTTACAATGAGACAAGTTGTCTAAAGAATGGGTTTTATCTTTAAGTTACAGGTTATAATGAGATAAGTTGTCTAAAGAATCAGTTTTATCTTTAAGTTACAGGTTACAATGAGATAAGTTGTTTAAATAATCAGTTTTATCTTTAAGTTACAGGTTATAATGAGATAAGTTGTCTAAAGAATGGGTTTTATCTTTAAGTTACAGGTTATAATGAGATAAGTTGTTTAAATAATGAGTTTTATCTTTAAGTTACAGGTTACAATGAGATAAGTTGTTTAAATAATCAGTTTTATCTTTAAGTTACAGGTTATAATGAGATAAGTTGTCTAAAGAATCAGTTTTATCTTTAAGTTACAGGTTATAATGAGACAAGTTGTCTAAAGAATGAGTTTTATCTTTAAGTTACAGGTTATAATGAGACAAGTTGTCTAAAGAATG